GCAAAATTCTCTTCCCTCAGGGCAGGTGCGGTCTCTCACACCTGTAATCCCAGCACTTTGGGAGGCCGAGGCGGGCAGATCACTTGAGATCAGGAGTTTGAGACCAGCCTGGCCAACATGGCAAAACCCTGTCTCTACTAAAAATACAAAAATTAGCCAGGTGTGGTGGTGCATGCCTGTGGAGAATTGCGTGAACCTGGGAGGCAGAGACTGCAGTGAGCCAAGAGTATGGCACTGCACTCCAGCCTGAGCAACAGAGCGAAATTCTGTCTCCAAAAAGAAAAAAAAAAACTCCCTTTCCCTCTCAGCGAAGAGTGTGATCCAGTTTAGAATGTGTTCTATTTAGAAAGATCTAAACAGTTCCATTCTTAACCATTTTTTCCCCTTTTATCTGGGAAATCTGCTCCTATGAGATACTTCCTTCTCTAATGGCACTGAGTCACTCAGGGTCTAGATTTTGCCAGGGCTAGGTTTCCCAGTATGGGATACCGGGAGACCTTGGCCAGAAGCTGTGCATGGAGGTCTGCCATGTGAGCTGAGAGGAGAAGGAAGAACAGGAGAAGGGGCCCAAGGGGAGCCACACTGCTGAGCTTAGGAGGGGCTGGGTACTCACAGCAGCTCATCCCACACCCCTCCCCTTGGTCTCATGGGCACCCTCTGGCCAGTGAGCTCTGAACCCTGGGCTTGAGTTCAGACCACCTTCCCTCCCCGTCCTAGCCTGAGGTCACTAGATCCCGCGGGCCTGCCTTGGTCCATGTCTTTCCTTTCTCAGCGCACAGCCTCGGGGCCACTCTCCTTTTTATCATTCCTTCTTTTTGCTACAGTGTGATACAGTTAGGGGCTCAGACAATTTTCACAACCTGTCCCTGTCAATCACCAGTTTGGTGGTAACTCTGGGTGAGTCCCTTCTCTTTTGCAGCATGTTTTACCAGCTGTGAAGCAGGGACCGTGGCCGTGATGACAGGGCATTCATGAGAATTCAGTGAGGCTGTGCCTGAGAAGCACTGCATGGCCCAGTTAGCGGGAGGGCATTCCCATACCAAGTAGGGAAGCAGAGGCTTCGTCCCGGAGGCTGTGCTCGGAGCCCCAGGCCTGCCCAAGCCTGGCCTACAGCTCGGTGGCTGTGGCATGGGGTGGTGGAAGGGATGGCATTCCTTCTCTTGGAGCTATTCCCACCGGCTGGACGGAGAGATTGTCTCAGCCTCACTGTGATAAGAGAAGCCCTCTTTAGACAAACGTGTTCGCTGTTCTTCGTTTGCCACCCAGAAGCAGGTCACATCTTTCTCATTTCTAGATTGGGCATATCACCAGTCCTGGTTTTGCCTGCAGGGATATTCCTCTGCCACCCTAGGTGACCAATTCCTTTGTGGTTCCAGGTGGAGGAGATGTCAAGATTGAAAGTCAGAAATTGAACTTCAAGGAGAAGGCCCAGGCCAAGGTGGGATCCCTTGATAATGTGGGCCACCTACCTGCAGGAGGTGCCGTGAAGGTAGTGAGTGGGTCACTGGGGAGGCACAGCTGGGGAGGGGTGGGGACTATGCAGCTAGGGTCAGGGTCCTCACAGGTAGGCACCTGTCACCGCCCCTCAGTCTCTTCAGGAGTCATGTCTTCACCCACACCATTGCTGTTTTCCCATCGTGTATCATCAGTCCTGACTGAGGCAGAAGTGAAGAGGCCCCAGCCCAGCCACCCCTCACCTGTCAGCTGGAGGCAGAACCTTGCTCCTGAGAGCCATGGCCTTCCTAATTAAGCCCATCCAGGCATTTTAGAAGGCCACAGGCTGGGACACAGACCCCCACCAGGCGAGCGGGGGTTCTGCACCACACAGTTCTCCCCGGCTGTCACACAAGAGGGGAATGTGGGTTCCCACCCCATGTCAGGCTCCGCTCCTGGGCTGGGAGCAGGACAGCACATTCTTGGCTGCCAGCGACAGCAGGCTGCCTGGGGCCTCCCTGTGCAGGGCTCTGGGACAGCTCAAGTGGCAGAGCTTCACATCCTGGCGACTGACTGGGCCTCTTCTCCCTTCCCTCTCTCCTCTTTCCTCCCTTCCTCCTTCCACAGTACTGTGAGACCTTCTGTGTGCCAAGATGCTGTCTATCCTTTGTTCCATGTCATCGGTGGGTGGGGGGCCCATGAGGGGCATTTTGTAGGCCCCGAGCATGAGGAAGGCTGCTGCTGCTCGGGTTCAGGTGCGCAGGGGAGAGGGGCCGGGAGCCGCTGCCCTGGACCTTCCCTTCCGCCTCTGCTCCCCAGTGCCAGCCACTGCCCAGCCCATCCCCTGTCCCATCCTCTCCTGATGCTCTGACTGAAGCCTTGATCAGCTTCCACGAACATCTGGGGGGTCCTTGCTGCCACAGGCTCTCAGTTCGTGCCCCCCACGCCTTGTGAGGATGCCGTTCTCGCGCCCGTCTCAGTGGGGTGTTAACTTGACTTTAGTCTCTTGTCCAAGGACACAGTGAGCGAGTGTGTATTATCTCCGTTTCTTTATTAGTTCTGGAATCATGGTTTTAAATTGAGGCCTATTTCTCTCACTATGCCGATTAGAAACCACTTCTGCCTTGTCACTTTTTGGGTATTTGACGACACAGACTTTCCAGCTCCCCAGTGACCTCTCGCAGCTGTTCTCTCTTCTCTGCCTTCCTCACACTGAGTGTTCCATGTGCCCCAGATGTCCTTCTCCTATGAAGCCCTCCGGGCCTCCACAGTCTCCCTGGGTTATACCTCCTTGGACACCTCCTTGCTGTCTCCCGTGGACCCCTGGTCCCAGAATGGTGCCCAGCACAGACAAAGCCTCAGTGCCTGCGTTCCTGACCAGACAGATGTGCAGGCAGGGCTGCCCGGGAGCTACTGACGACCCCACTCTGTGTGCAGGGGGTGGCCTGGGTCCAGGGAGGGTTTGGGAGGGTGGGCTGCACCCTTTGGGGGGCTACCCTTCAGGCTTGTTGCTTACTGTTGTCATGGGGAGGCCTGGCACCTCTGCCCTCAGAGAGGCTTCATCAGAGCCTCACATGCCACAGAGGGGCTCTGAGAGTGTCACTAGCCCAGCTGCTCCTGACCCTCGGGAGTCGGTCTCCCAGGTGAGGTGGGGTGGGTGGGGCCAGGGCACCTGCCTGAGATTCTCCAAGCGACTGTGCCTTGAGCCAGTGGGTGCCGGGACAGCACGGGTGGGGGCTGTGTGTGAAACCCACCACCATCACCCATCCCACTCCCCTCCCGACTGACCCTGCACTGTCTCCCCCACTGTTTCATTGTAGACTGAGGGCGGTGGCAGCGAGGCTCCTCTGTGTCCGGGCCCCCCTGCTGGGGAGGAGCCGGCCATCTCTGAGGCAGCGCCTGAAGCTGGCGCCCCCACTTCAGCCAGTGGCCTCAATGGCCACCCCACCCTGTCAGGGGGTGGTGACCAAAGGGAGGCCCAGACCTTGGACAGCCAGATCCAGGAGACAAGTAAGTGGCTGGGCTCGGCCTAAGGGCCAGCCAGGGGTCCTGCCACTGGCCGCAAATTGAAACTCCTTTGTTTTTGACTAGAGTGTGGACTAAATTTTAACGAAGTAACCTTTTATTTTCCAGGCATCTAATGATGACATTCTGGTCTCGTCTTCCGTCTCCCCCGTGTTCCCCTCTTGTCTCCCCTGTTCCCCTCTCCCTTCCCTCCTCCCATGTCACTGCAGATTGAGACCTACAGGCTGACGTTCCGGGCAAACGCCAGGGCCCGCACCGACCACGGGGCCGACATTGTCTCCCGCCCCCCACATTTCCCTGGCGGCCCCAACTCGGGCTCCCGGGTCCTTGGCCCTCTTTCCCGGACTGTCCACTAGACCAGTGAGCGCTTGGGCGCCGGGCAGCCCGCTAGGCTCGCCTTCCCTCCTGCTTTGCAGCAGCAGCCCCACCCACCTCCTCTCACGCTCCAGCCCAGGCCCAGCTCCCTGCTTTGGTCTTGCCCCATCACTGCGCCACTGCTCCGTAGAGGAGGTTGGGAGGGGGTTGGGGTGGCTGAGGCTAAGTTGGGATCTAGGAGAGGAGAACTAGATTCCACCCTCATCTTTGTTTGGTTCTTTGGTCCAAACCCAAAAGAAACTGACATGCCCTCCCTCCTTCTTGGGTCTACCTGGAGGGAAGAGTGGAGGCGGATTTTGAGTGGTGACAGGACGCTGACTGTGGCGCTTAAGCCACTGCCTCTCCCTCTGGCGCCACGAATGCCCCCCCCCTCCCCACATGCAGGTGGTGTCCGGCCCTTCCTGCTGCCCTGCCCCAAGTTGGGGGTCAGTGCTGCCTGTCCCCATGCTTAACATACCCGCCTAGCTGCTGTCACATTTTTCTTGTTTTGTCCTTTTATTTTTTTTCTAATAACCTAAAAACTGGCGAAATAGTTCTGCAGGTTGAAGCCATGTCTATATGAAAGTCCTCAGTAAGTGTTAGAGGGAACAGGGCGGAGAGATCCTTACGCCACCCCCGCTGGAGGATGTGGGCAGCTTAGGGCCCTGGAGGCGGTACAGCAGGGAAGAGGGGTGCAGAGGCTGTGGCTGGTGAGCCGGTCGGGCACACAAGGGGCTCTCGGAGCGTGCACTGGTTGGTTTTGCCATTTTGTTGTGTGTATGCTGCTTTTCTTTTCTAACCAAGAGGCTGGTTTTGGCATCTCTTTCCCATTCCCTGGGATCTGGTGGTCAGCCCTAGGATACAAAGCCAGGGCTGGAGAACAGGAAAGGGCCAGGAGATGGAATTCCTTCAGGCCGGCACCCGCACCCTAGGACATGCAAGCCCTCATGTCCAGCGGAGCCTCATGCGGATAGTGGGAAATCAGGTCTGGAAATTTAAAAATAAAAGGCATGAGACTAAGGCCATCTGCTTCCCTTACGCCCTGACTGGAGAGGGGAGGGAGGAGAGGCGAGGCCCACAGAGGGCATCCCAGCTAGGCCTTGGGATGGCTGCAGTGAGGAGAAATCCTGGGAACTGTATTGACACAAAGATTCTTATTGCACTTGTATTTTTTGTATTAAAGTTTGCATGGTTTCTAATAAAGGATTCAAACATAAGTTTGTAGTGAAATGGCCTGGAAGATTCCAAGGGCTTCTCTGGAGGGGACTGGCTACAGTGTAGATTTGCCTCTGAGGCTGCCCCAGACTTGGCCTCCTCAGGCCCCTCCTGACCTCTGCCCTTCTCTGGTCCTGGCATCCCTTGGAGCTGGAGAAGGAAGGGGTCTTGACTTAGGTTTAGATTTGATCTCCATGTGCAGGGAGGCAGTCCTGGGCCTGACAGCTCCTCCCCCTTTCTGAGGTAGCAGTGCCTTATGGAGGTGTGGCACCATGTCTCTAGCTCCCCAGGCACACACCAGGAAACTGCAGGGTCTCACGGAGGAAGTGCTGCCTGGGCCAGGGGGACCAGCTTTCCTCCATAGAGACCATGTGCAGAACACTTCCGCTGTGCCCAGAACATGAGGGAGCCAGTGTTTCGTCAGCAGGAGGAAGGGCCTGCTGGGAAGCTGGGATGAAAGTGAGAAGGAAACAATGAGGGTTGGGTAGTCAGGAGACACCACAGGGGCAACAGCACAGGCCCAGAGTACCTGCTGCCTCTGCTGCGTCTGTCCCGGGGTCATGAGGATGCTGAGGTTGACGACAGGTTCCAGGTCCTTTCGCTCCTTTGGCCAAGGGTTGGGGGGAGGTGGCCCAAGTGGCATGCTCTCTAGGTAAGACAATAGGAGTGGTCAGAGTTCCCTCGAAGGATCCTGCACACCAGAGCACCTGAGAAGGCCAGGACCAGAGGCCCTGTGTGATGTGTACTCCGCAGCCATTTGGGGTGGGACAGTTCTGTACTTCCCGATTTGCTTATGGCTCAGCCATTACCTGTGTCAGTCTGTGATTCTGTTGTAACAGTTTTAAGAGTAAATAAAGCTGCCTGATGTCCCATCACACAGGCTCCGTGCTTCTGTGTCTCGGTTTGCATCTACCTCCCTGATCCTCCTGCCCTCAGCTCACCCCCTTGCATCAAGGGACTGAAATGCCGTGTGCACATGATCTCCATGACCTCGGCATTCAGCCCCTCGGCTATGAACTTGTGGATGTGGATACAGGAAGGACCACCGTGCACACAGCCCTGGGCCTCGGCTACCTGCGGAACTCTCCTCCAGTCTGCCTGGTAAAGGGCTGCTCGACACTTACTGCCCAAAACTACAAGGACAGTGACAGTTCTGACAGGCTTCCTGTGGTGGGTACCCAGAGGAGCAGCTGTGCCAGGGGACTGGGCTGGTTAACAGCACGGCTGCTTCCTGCTCTTGGCGAAGGAAGGAGGTTCTAACCCCCTTCTTTCTCTCTCAAGACTTGGGGCCACAGGCAGCCCGTCCCCCAGCAATAAGCATCTCTCTTCTCTACCTTCCTTCTTCCTCTTTGGGGAACCGTGGCCCAGTGTATGGAGGCCCTGAGAGAGGAGCCCCTAGTGGACAGCAGTGGTCACAAGGGATAAATAGAACTTTATTTTAAATAAACATTTGCACTCTGTACACAGCCCCAGCAGAAGCAGGGCTCAGTCGTCAGCTGTCTTGCGCACATCAAAGCTGCCACACGGTCCTCGCAGCAGCTCTGCCAGTAGCGCAAGCAGCTGCCCGTGCTCCTCCTGCACGCTGGGGGGAAGTGCAGCCAGCTCGCTGCGCAGGCTCCGCTCCACCATGCGGCCCAGGGCCCGCCGCAGCTCCCTCAGCAGCCGCACGGTACGCGAGTCACCCTCCAGCCGCAGCAGGTCACTGTCGCTCAGTGAGATGGTGGCCCGGCGCCCGTCATCTGAGGGAACGGAAAAGATGGTGGTAAGCTGTGGTGAGGCCAGGCCCCAGAGGAGCAGCTGCAGAGCGGGGTGGGCGGGAGGCCTGCAGGCACCCACCGCGGATGTGCACGTCCCCGTCGGTCAGGAGCAGCACAGCTAGCGGGTGCACCTGCGAGGAGTCCCGGACGAAGACGCTGCCATTGGACTTGACCGCCATGAAATACGTCAGCCATCGGCTCCGCAACCGTGTGGCCTCCCTAGGGAACACAGGGCTGGTGAGGCCACCCTTTTGGACCATCCCAGCTGCCCCATCCAGGCCTGCATGCCCTCACCTGTTAATGGTCGACTTGTGCAGCAGGATGTTGCCTGATTTGGTCCTATATGTGACGCTGTTGGGCTTGAACTTCCCCTGCCGGGTGACCTTGCCCTGCCTCACCTGCAGGGATGGTGGAAAAGATGGGTGGGGCTGAGCAAGGAGCTGCAGACAGGGAAGGAGGCTGGGACCTGGTGAACTCCACTCCCTCCCAGAGGCAGCACCTGGATGAGGTTGGGGTAGAGGCCGGCCATCAGCACGCCCTTCACCAGCTCCTCCTCCTCACTGTACTCGTTGCACTGGGCAGAGGCCAGGGTGCAGTCCGAGGGCTTCCCCACCAGGAAGGCCTCATAAATGTTCTCCGAGAACTGCTTGATGAGTCCTAGGGAGACAGAATGTGCAGTGAACCTACAGCCCCTAGCCACAGGCTGGGGTAACAGCAGCTCAGTGGGGGTGGGAGGGGTGGGAGGGGCTCAGGAAAGCAGGCGTGGGCCCAGCTGACCGTGGATGAAGCGCAGGCTAGGTGCGTAGAGCAGGTTTTCCTCCAGGTAATTCTCCCTGGAGCTGCGGTCCTGCCAACGCAGCACCTCCTCCCAGCCGGCGACAGCCCGCACAAAGGCCAGGTGGTCACTGCCACTGTCGTGGCTCAACAGTGCTTTCACCTGGGAGGGGAAAAGAGGGCAGCCGGGTCACAGGCAGGGGCTAGACAACGCCCCCTCAGAACAGCAGTGGGTGGAGGGCTCCAGGAAGGAGTCAGGACTGACCTTGTCCACCTCGGCCCGGTTCTGTAGGCTGCTGCTGAAGGGGTCCCGGGTAAGGCAGGAAACAACCACCAGTAGCGGGTGCAGGCAACGGAAGATGGCGGCCAACACTATCGCCTTGGCCAGCCGGGGGTCGGTGGAGATATGAGCCAGGCGCTGCCCCAGGGTGGTCAGGTACTCCCGCTGGTCCAGCACCCCTGCAACGGCTCAGCTGTCAGTGCCACCCTCAGGAGCTACTACCCGGCCCGGCCCAGCCCAGCCCAGCCCCTACATACCGATCTCCTGGAGCAAAATCACAGCCTCGTCCACTGCCTTGATGTTTGGACTGTCCACAGCCTTGGACAGGAACTCCACCGCCTACGACGAACAGAGCCAGAGCCCGCCATGAGCCTGCCTCCCACCTGTCTGGTCCCCAGGCCAGCCCCCACCCCGCCCCATCGCACCGTCTTCTCAGGCATGTGGATTTTTGCTTGCAGCACCAGGTTCTCGAGAGGCGTGCGCAGGATCTCTGGCACTTGGAAAGGGACCATTTTCTCCAGCCGGCTTCGAGGGAACAAGTGGTAGGCAAAGCCTGACTGGCAGCGGCCCGCTCGGCCCCGGCGCTGGATCACATTGGCTCTTGACACCCACACTGTCTCCAGGCAGGACACCTGGAGGAGGGGGCAGGTAAGCAGCACACAGATACCACTTCCTCAGTGCTTCCCCACTCCGAATAACCCTCACCAGCCCCCACATCAGGAACACTGAGACCCCACAAGCGTGGCCTTCTCAAGACACACAAAATAGGTCTAAGGTAGATCTGGGCTGCAGACCACCTCGAAACAGAGTCCCTCCCCCAGTGGTTGGCCAGGCCCAGGAGGTAGGTGCCACCTTGGTCTTCAGGTCATAGCGTTCTTCCTTGTGCAGCCCACTGTCCACCACATGCACGATGTCATTGATGGTGATGGAAGTCTCCGCAATATTGGTGGCCAAGACAATCTTGCGCACCCCAACTGGAGGCTGCTGGAATATGGCCTTCTGATCCATCATGGGGATGTTGGAGTGCACTGGTGGGCAAGACACACACTGGTTATGGGCACTGCTTCCACCAGAATTGCCCCCTGGAATGTGGGCAGGGCAAGGATTTTGACCCCATTTTGATGAAACAGGTGCAGATAAACACTATGCCCAGTGAAAAGTGCCGCAGCTTGGTCAGAAACCGGGACCCCCAGAGTCCCAGTTGGGTCAGTCCCCAGGACAAAGGCCAGGCTGGTTTCCGAAGGTCCCTGGTCCCTCTGCCCGGGCTCTCACCTGGCAGGATGAGGTACTTGCTCTCGTGCATGCCCAGGGCCTCCTGGAGGCGCTGCTGCACTCCTTTGATCTCCTGCCACCCAGGCAGGAAGCACAGGATCCCACCTGCAAAGGAGCCCTGGGGCATGAGCCAGCTGCTTCTGCAAGCGTGGCCAGGGCTGGCATGGGGCAGATGGGGAGGCACCCACCTGGTTCCCCACGAGCATCGATGTGCAGAACCAGATCAGTCACAAGGTCCAAATCGAGTGCGCATTCATCCTCAGACTGGGGTGGGGGAAGAGAGGCCACAGTCACAGCCCCGGGGTAAGGGGTCATGCCAAGGACACAGCCACCTGACTCAGTGAGACGGAGCCGCTTGACATCAACTCTAATCCTCACATGCGTGCCACGCACATGGGGTTAGTCCTCAGTTTCTATCAAGGAAACTGAGGACTGGGGAGGGTAACTTGCCCCAGGCCACCAAGCCCCAGGGCCAGGGGGGAGGGGCATCCATGGAGGAAAGGCCAGGAGCCTCGAGTGGGATGGGGGTGTCCCTCACCTCATGGTGCCGGTGCCGGTGCAGGTATTGGTGCTTGCCCAGCTTGGCCAGGATGTCCTCCAGGTAGTGCTCCTTGACCGGGTACATGAAGCCAGGCACCTTGATGACGGGGCAGCCACCAAAGTATCGGGAGAAGCGCTCATTGTCCCCTGTGGCACTCATGAGCACCAGCCGCAGGGCCGGGTTGAGCCGCTGCAGGCCCTTGAGCAGGATCAGCAGAAAGTCTGTGTTCACGTCCCGCTCATGTACCTCATCCACGATGACGTGGCTCACACCCTCCAGGCTGGGGTTGCTCTGCAGCTTACGCAGCAGGATACCCACAGTGCAGAAGAGCAGGGCCCCGCCTCGGGCTGGGGGCTTACTTTCCAGCCGCACCTGGAAGCCCACGTTCCGGCGCAGGGAGGGGCCCAGTTCGTGGCTGACCCGCTGTGCCACAGACACAGCAGAGATGCGGCGAGGTTGGGTGATGATCACATTGCAGCGGGCACCGCGGCCCTCGGTCACATAGCGCTCCAGCAACAGCTGGGGGATGCGTGTGGTCTTCCCACAGCCTGTGTCCCCAGAGATGACCACCACCGGGTGCTGCTCAATGGCATTGAGGATGGTATCCCGATGTGGATCCACAGGTAGCTGGGGGGCCTCCTGCCAGACTGGTCCTCGCCGCCGCCACAGTTCTAGCAGACTCTGGCTGAGACGTACCTCCTCTGCTTCCAACAGGGGCACATAGGGCTTGCCTGTGATAGGGTCACTGAGAGGCCCTGAGTCCTTGCCCAAGGGCAAGATGTCTTCACTCTGCAGCCGGAGTTCTGGGGCGATCCATGAACTCTCCACAGGGTACTGGGGGGCAGGGAGGCAAGCAAAACAATGAAAAAGAAATTCCTCATTACCACCCAACCAGCCACTCTGCAGGATCCGCCTGGGTCAGATGTTGTGGCCCAACCCACTGAGCACAGGATTAATTTAGTCCATGACTGCCGCGGGATCCTTGTGGGCAAGACTGGGCTGCTCAGGCCAGGGGGCTCCCAGGCCCCAAGCTCAGTGAAGAGAATGGGGAGGTACTACTGCCTATCGCAGGTAGAGGCCTTCGGTCTGAAGAGATGGAGGCAGACTACAGGGGGCAAGGGTGATGAGGGATGCAGGGCCTCTTACATGGTTCAGGAAGGTCTCTATCTTGCGGAGGATGGGCTCGGGCACCTGGATGGTGCACGGTCGGCGCTGGGTCTCACCCAGCTCACGCAAAGAGGCCAGGTTATACATGGCGTGTGTAAGTGGTTCATTGTTCCTGTCCACCAGGCCCAGGCTCTGCAGGGAGACATGCAAGACTCAGTCTATGCTCTAGGGCTCCCCAAAAACCAGCCCAGACAAGCTCAGGAGCTCCGAGGCAGAAGTTGTGCCAAGTAATGTCTAAGAGATTTTGGATCTTGGCTGACATGGTGATGGAGGGAGAAATTATGAACTAGGAAAACGTAAACTTACCAAAATAAACGTTTTAAAAAATGAACTAAAGTTAATTCAGGCCAGGTGCAGTGGCTCACACCTATAATCCCAGCCCTTTGGGAGTCCGAGGCAGGCAAATCACCTGAGGTCAGGGGTTCAAGACCAGCCTGGCCAACATGGTGAAACCCCGCCTCTACTAAAAATACAAAAATTAGCTGGGCGCGGTGGCTCACACCTGTAGTCCCAGCACTTTGGGAGGCCAAGGCAGGTGGATCATGAGGTCAGCAGTTCAAGACCAGCCTGGCCAAGATGGTGAAACCCCGTCTCTACTAAAACTACAAAAAATTAGGCAGGAGTGGTGGCGCGCGCCTGTAATCCCAGCTACTCCGGAGACTGAGGCAGAGAATTGCTTAAACCTGGAGGGGCGGAGGGTGCAATGAGCCGATATTGTGCCACTGCACTCCAGCCTGGGCGACAGAGCGAGACTCCATGTCAAAAAAAAAAAAAAAAAAAAAAAATTAGCCAGGCGGGTGGCCAGCACCTATAGTCCCAGCTACTAGCGAGGCTGAGGCACAAGAATCACCTGAACCCTGAAGGCAGAGGCTGCAGTGAGCGGAGATCATGATGGTGCACTCCAGCCTGGGCGACAGAGCGAGACTCTGTCTCGAAGAAAATAATAATAAAGTTAATTCAAGAAAAGCTAAACCTGACGTGTCACAGAACAGCCCTACGTCTGGAGAAGGCCCTGAGGAGAAACCACTCACTGTGCGGCTAGAGCCCCTCCGACATCACAGTAGGCCCCTGTCACCTCCGTGAATTCCCAACGTGTACCCTGAGACCAGCCAGACCAGGCCCTCAATGACGCTAGAACACACCCCACAGACTCTCTCTTCCTTTGCTGCCTCATCAAAGCCTTCCTCCCCCAATCCTTCCATCCCACCTCCCAGTCCCTACATGGCACCTGACCCATCTGTAACCCCATCATATACAGATACACGTGGAGTTTCCTATAAATGTCGATTATAATGCAACTTGATCAAACAAGCCACTGCAAGGAAAACACTGTGTCTTGCCTCCTTACGTACCTAAAGCCACCTCGCCAGAGATAAAACATGGCATTCCAATACCTCAGGCACGCGGGTAAACGTCTTGTGTTCCTGTCACCTCTAATGTCTGGACTCTGCTCACCCTTCGGAGCCCAGATCAAACACTTCCTCCTTAAAGAAGTCTTTCCACAACAGGGGCCAACCCCCTGCCTCTGGGCATGCTGGCACCATCAGCTGTAAGGACCTCAAGGAGAGGAATCTGGTCCTCGTTCCGCAGGACGTGCCAACACAAGCTCCTTGCTGCAAGAACAGGCTTCCGCCCTCTCCCCAGACTTCATGGGTTTTACCCACCAGCCTGACAAATGGCCCTCCAGCCACTGCAAAGCTTGTTCCTTCCCAGACAGGCCCCACCATGCCAAGGTGCCTCTGCTCAGTGCGTGTGCGTCAGTCCAAAGCTCAGATGCCTCCAGTTCTACAGTCAGTCCTTGTTCTGCCCTCGAGTCACAGGTAGCACATCTATGCCTTCTATCTCACCACCTGCCTGTCCCCTCTTCCTCGTTTTCTCCAGGTTCTTGTTACCCCTCACCATCAGCTATAACTAAAACGTGGTTCCCGGGGCCAACTGCACCCATGAAATGGTGCACCTGACCATTCAGAGTAAAGCAGGCCCATTTCTGTCTTGTTCTGCAAACTAAACCTCCACCAACATGGGTTGAGATTACTAACTCCTCAGGCAGTCAGACACAATCCCAACGCCCTCCCACTACTGTGCCATCAGCTAACTCCACAGCCCCTTTAAAGAGAACTGCCATGGCCAGGAGCTGTGGCTCATGCCTGCAATCCCAACATTTCAGGAAGTGAAGGCAGAAAGATTGATTGAGCCCAAGATTTTAAGACCAGCCTTGGCAACACAGTGAGACCCTTGTCTCCACAAAAAATGTTTAAAAATTAGCTGGGAGTGGTGGCGCATACCTATGGTCCCAGCTATGCCGGACGCTAAGGTGAAAGGATCGCTCAAGCCTAGGAGGTCAAGGCTGCAGCGAGCCATGATCGTGCCACTACACTCCAGCCTGGGCCATAGAGACCCTGTGTCAAAAGAAAGAACTGCCAGCTGTCTGCCACGCTGTCTCTACCTTGATGCTGACTGCTTCCTCAATCTTCACTGCAGTCACAAGTCACATTATTCATTTTGGCCACAAAACCTGGGTTATCAGGATCATACTGGACACCAGGTCTGCCTCTCAAAACAGGCCCGGCTCCTCCCGGCTTTACACTATTCAGAACAATGAGCAAGTTTCCTCCCGGCCTCACCGGGTTCAGGCCAACAGTGTGGAAAAGCCTGGGGCACAGTCAAAGCATCTCCACAGGGGCTCTGGGAAAGCTGTGGCAACAGCCACAGGGCCTACAAGCGAGGCCTGCAGACCCGCTGTCTTTGTGCCAGGCAAAAGGCCTGCTGTGGTGGTTTCATTTCCTAAAACATGGGACCCATTTGCCACTGGCAGAGGGGAGCTTCAAGACATTCTCATGCATCACACCCAGGACCTTCCTGGACTCACCTTCAGTTTCTTGCAGGCCAAGGCTGCCGCCTTATTCTCAGCCTCTGCTTTGCGGCGCCCTTTGGCAACAAAGGTCATGGGGCAGGGCCAGAGCAGGGTGAGTGTAGACAGCTTGGTCTTGGTGCCCACAGTATGGAACTGCATGAGATTCTACATGGAAGGCAAGAGAGATGGTTACAGAAATGTAGGGAATGGGAAGAGACTTGGGGCGTTCTCAAAATGCCAAGGAGCCCAGAGACGGAATGAGCCACCATCTCAGCAGGTGCCCGGCGTGAGCCATGCTAGAGGTGCTGCTGCATAGCCAGGAGCAGGCCCATGGGCTCGGGCACTCTAGTCCCAGGCTCGCTTCTCCTGCTATACCTCGACTTCCACTGCAGAAGACAGTGCTTGGGCGATTCCACCACCTGCCCTCCTAGCCCAGTCATCTCAGCACCTTCGTGGCAGCTGTGGGTTGAAGCTGTCAGCATGAGCTAAAAACCAGGCACATCCTGCGGGAGCAAAAAGGCCCTGCACCCGGACAGAAGCTCTGCCTAACCGAAGCCCCTTTGCCTGGTAGCAAGAGAGAAACTCATACCTCACCAAGACCCACACCTCTAAGCCCTCCCCACTGACAATCCACCGCCCAGAACAGGTATGGGTCTTCTGCTCCTGCGGCCCCCAGTCCACGCCCTGTGCTGCTGAGACTTGACCTCCATTCTGTCACACTGACTGCTTTTCCTTCCACGCCGGAGTTCCACCAGCTGGCCGAGGTGTGGGCTGGAGGAACAGGCCCCCTCAGCCCTCTGTAAACCTGCCTTTGGGGAACACCAGACATGACCAAGTAAATGGCCCCCACACACACTTCTAGGAGACCCAACTCACCTTAGCTGTGGAGGATGACGTTGCAATCTGAATCACCTTGGCCAGAAGGTTCTTGGGAAGTGGAAACTGGGTCAGAGCCCTGATAGCACTGTCATCATCTGTCATCTCAAAGGAACTCCCCCTGGGAGGACCAAAAGTTTAGCTGAAAGAATCTTCTCTCTTCCTGGACCAATTTCCCTGAGGCTCTGAGATGTAAGGGTGAGGACACTGCACTGCAGCAGGAAGCCAAAAGGCCAGGAGGCATGAAATGGATGGGAAACCGGGCATCTCTGCTCCTCCCACAGCCACACTGGATGGGGACTGCGCCCTCCATTCCCTCACATAGGTAAGACAGCAGAGAGCAGGTTCTCCGTGCTGCTGTTCTGCAAAAGCCCAGCCACATAGAAGACCACAGCTGGCTGTCCCCCAAGAATGGGCAGACACACACTGAGTGATGGGACACACAGGCTGCAATGTGAGGCAGGGCACTCCCATCTCAGAGAAAGCTAACAGAGAACATGCGCCCATCCCCGTGTCAAGGCACAGCCAGCCTCCGCTGCATCCCCATCCCCAATCTGTACCTTGAGTCCCTGAGTGGGGTGTGGGAATCCTGCTGGGTCATGGACAAGAAGTCGGTAACATCTATGGTCCCTTCTTCTAGCTCTTCCTCCTCATCCTCTTCTTCTTCCCGGCCCAAAGAGCGGGATAGGCCCCCAGGTCCCCCTGGCCGAATGCTCTCCGGATTCAGCTGCCGCCAGGAAGTAGGGGGCATGGTGGGTTCAGGACGCCACCAGCTGTCAGCAGGGGAGCCAAAGCGATCAGCTAGCACTCGGTATTTGGCTGCGTCAAACAACTCATTCCGGGGACCCAGCAGACCCCAACCCTGGAGGGGAAAAGGGACGTTTAAAGGACTCATACCATCTTTACACCTCAGTCAGCCTGGCCCATGTCCAGCTACACCGTTAAGTCCCTTGTGTTGTGGAGCCATGGTTTTTCATCTGTTTACCCACTTCAGCCCCTAGTCCAGAACTGGGCATGGAATACTGAAAGATGCCTAGCTTTGATACAAACAAATAACCCCACATGGCAATGGGAGAGCAGAAGATACTGTTTGTTTTTTGTGTTTCTGACACAGGGTCTGGCTCTGTCGCCCAGGCTGGAGTGCAGTGGCACACTCATGGCTCACTGCAACCTCTGCCTCCTGGGCTCAGGTGACCCTCCCACCTCAGCCTCCAAAGTAACTGAGACTAAAGGTATGCACCACCAAGCCCAGAGAATTTTTGTAGCAACAGGGCTTCACCATGTTGCCCAGGATGGTCCTGAACTCCTGGACCAAAGTGATCCGCCCACCTTGGCCTCCCAAAGTGCTAGGATTACAGGCATGAGCCACCACACTGAGCCCAAGAAGATAAATTCACATAGTTATCTAGGAAGCTTCAGTAAATACAGCAATTTAAAAGTACATAGGGCCAGGCGCGGTGGCTCACACCTGTAATCCTAGCACTTGGGGAGGCCGAGATGGGCAGATCATGAGGTCAAGAAATCAAGACCATCCTGGCTAACACGGTGAAACCCCGTCTCCACTAAAAATACAAAAAAATTAGCCGGGTGAGGTGGCGGGCGCCTGTAGTCCCAGCTACTCAGGAGGCTGAGACAGGAGAATGGCGTGAACCCGGGAGGCGGAGCTTGCAGTGAGCCGAGATCGCGCCACAGCACTCCAGCCTGGGCGACAGAGCGAGACTCTGTCTCAAAAAAAAAGAAAAAAAAAAATACATAGCCGGACGGGCACAGTGGCTCACACCTGTAATCCCAGCACTTTGGGAGGCCCAGGCAGGAGGATCACCTGAGGTCAGGAGTTTGAGACCAGTCTGGCCAACATGGCGAAACCCCATCTCTACTAAAAATACAAAAATTAGCTGGATGTGGTGGGAGGCACCTGTAATCCCAGCTACTCGGGGGGCTGAGACAGGAGAATCGCTTGAAGCCGGGAGGTAGTGGTTGCAGTGAGTGGAGATCGCACCACTGCACTCCAGCCTGGGCAACCAGAGCGAACCTCCGGCAAAACTCCAACTCAAAAAAAAGAGAGAGAATATAAGAATCCTATGTTAGGAATACATTCTAGAGAAATAACTTGAAATGTTAAAGCTATTTATACAAAAATAGGATTTTAAATGTGTTACAGCTTCATGCTTTTCTACAGAAAATATAAATTAAACATTGCGTAAGTCTCTAGCATGTACACAGCAACATGCTGGCCACCAGCATCAGCAGGAGAGACAAGGCCTGGTCCTTGCCCTCAAGCAGTTCAGAATATAAGAGGCAGTTAGCCAGGGATGGTGGTATGTGCCTACAGTCCCAGCGACTCGGGAAACTGAGGCAAGAGGATCACTTGAGCCCTACAGTTTGAGGCTGCAGTAAGTCATGATCACACTACTGAACTCCAGCCTGGGTGACAGAGCAAACTTCTCTCCAAAAAAAAAGAAAACACGAATTTAAGTGGCAGAAGAGAAATGCAGACGGCCGGGGTCTAAGGAACAAAGACGTGAGTGAGATGAGTGAGCAGCTGAGAGAACAGGAGCAAATGCGAAGAAAGCATAGGTTGCAGGAGCTGCCACTGGGAGTGGTAAAGGTGAGAAAAACACGGCTTGTTGGGTGAATGTCAGGTCCATGTGACAGCAGATGGCAGGGGTCACAGGCCAGGAACCTCTCTACAGTGAGCTTTCAGTCCCACCCGAGTCACGACAAGCTGGAGAGTGACCACAGCCTGCCTTCCTAAAACTTTCTCCTTGGGCTTTTGAGATAATTTAATTTTTAAAATTCTATTCACAACAGTAACAAAAACCATCACCTACCTAAGATGAACTACGGTGGGTCAGAAAGGTAAGGACTAAGCATACAACTTGGCAACAGGATGTAAATCCAGGGAGATACACGTTCCTGGATGATAGAACTTTTATGTGTGAGGAGACAAAAACCTCTTAATCCATAAATCGAACACAATTTCAATCAAAGTCTGCAGAGGCTTCTTATTAAGCATTTGACAAACCAATTCTAAAGTTCGTCTATTAAGAATAGACGCATGAAAACAGCAGGATTCAGGGACAGAAGATGGGGCCAAGGCATGCCACACACACACCCGCGAACCCTTGGGGCAGGACCCGATCCAGGGCTCAGCTGCCCCACTTTTGCGTCACCGCCTCGCTTCTGACAAGAACGCCTCTGGTTCCACAGAGCAGCAATACAAGCACTCCTCCCTGGCCTGGCTTCCCCAGCAGGACAGCGCCTTCTCCCCCTGCCTTTGCAGCCACTCTTTCGCTAGACAACAGGACCTCGTCCCCACAGGCTCACTGCTGGTCCTGGCCATGCTCCCGCGCCAGTCCTGAGCTGTACCAACATCCACTTGCCACTATTCTCGCCATAACCTACGCGCCAACCCACTGCTCGTCCACAGCTCCCCTCACTGGCACATGCTGCTCCACCAACCCGTTCTTCCTCCTGCCTCCTCCACTGTCCAGGCGCTATCCGTGCAACTTCTCTAATACCTTTTTGTTGCTGTTCCTTTTCTGAGAGAGAGTCTCACTCTGTCACCCAGGCTGGAGTGCAATGGCATTATCTCGGCTCACTGCAACCTCTGCCTCCCGAGTTCAAGCGATTCTTCTGCCTCAGCTCCGAGTAGCTAGGATTACAGGCACGCGCCAACACGCCCGGCTGATTTTTGTATTTTTAGTAGAGATGGGGTTTCACCATGTTGGCCAGGCTGGTCTCGAGCTCCTGACCTTGTGATCCACCCGCCTCAGCCTCCCAAAGTGCTAGGACTATAGGCATGAGCCCTCATGCCTAGCCCTCTAATACCCTTGAAGAAACCGCCTCCACTGCTGCCGCTGGCGTTCTCTTCCATCCAGTGTCCCTGTCTCTGGTCTTGCCAAAAACTACTGCTGTCAGTGACTTTTCCTAAAGGCAAACTTGGCTGTGTCATTCTATCAATTACCACTAGTCAGAAGCCCCATTCTGCCCCTGTGACAGCAAAGGCCCTAGAGTTCTAGCTCCTCCCTGCCTGTCTACCCCATGACCCGGCAGGCAGACCCACATTCATTCTCATTCCCCACAGCCACGCATATTCACCCGGGCTCTAAGCCACAGTGGCCTGTGTCTGGAGTGCCTTGCTCCAGCCCTCAGCCCTGGCAAGGACCATTCTTCAAGAATAAGCCTCTTCTATTTAGGAGGCTGGGGTGCATTTATGTCCTCCCGTGGACACCTTCTTCTTGGCTGTGGCTGCTGACTCAGTCCCCTTTGCGCTGCCAGCACGTCTCACCAAGCCTGCGGGCAATGCGGAAAAAGACATCTGGTTTGGGGGGAAAGGGAAACTGAAGAACTGGGAGTACAGCTATTAGAGAATAAAAGGCTGAGTTCTAGAATAAAAAACAACTACTATAACCACAACGAGATCTCATCTCACACCCATTTAGGAACACTATGATCAAAAAAACAAAAACAACTAGGCTGGGCGCGGTGGCTCACACCTGTAATCCCAGCACTTTGGGAGGCAGAGGCAGGTGGATCACGAGGTCAGGAGTTCAAGACCAGTTTGGCCAATATGGTGAAACCCTGTCTCTACTAAAAATACAAAAATTAGCCAGGTGTGGTGCTGTGCGCCTGTAGTCCCAGCTACTCGGGAGGCTGAGGCTGGAGAATCGCTTGAACCCAGGAAGCGGAGGTTGCAGTGAGCCGAGATTGCACCACTGAACTCCAGCCTAGGCGACAGAGCGAGACTACGTCTCAAAACAAAACAAAACAAAACAAAACTATGCACATAGATGGGGAAGAGAAAAAGAGATGGAGAAAAATATGATAATGACCTGCTTCAGACAGGCTGGGATAGCCAGGCATAGTAGCTCATGCCTGTAATCCCAACACTTTGGGAGGCAGAGGTAGAGGCAGGCGGATCACCTAAGGTCAGGAGTTTGAGACCAGTCTGGCCAACATGGTGAAACCCCATCTCTACTAGAAATGCAAAAATCAGCCAGGCGTGGTGGCAGGCACCTGTAATCCCAGCTATGAGGGAGGCTAAGGCAGGAGAATCACTTGAATCCAGGAGGTGGAGAGAGGTTACAATGAGCCAAGATCATGCCTTTGCACCATTGCACTCTAGCCTGGGCGAAAGAGAAAGACTCCATCTCAAAAAACAAGAGTCTGAGTTTAAAGTGCCTTCAAACATGCAGCCAGTCAGTCAGCCAGGCAGAGGAGGATTTCTCAACTTCAGCATAATTGCTATTCTGGGCAGGGTAATTCTGTGCCATAGGGGACTGTCCTATGTACTGTAAGCTGGGAAGAAGCATTCCTGGCCTTGATCTTACAGCTGCCAGTAGCACTCCTCCACCTGTGTACAACGAAAATCCCTACAGACATTGCCAAATGGCCCCGGCCACTCTCAGCACTTTTGTTCAACATAGTACTAAAAGTACTAGAAAGAGCAGTCAGACAAGAAAATAAGGCATCCAAACTGGAAAGAAAGAAGTAAAATTATCCCTGCTTACGGATGACATATCTTATATATAGAAAACCCAAAAGAGAGCCAGGCACAGTGGCTCACGCCTGTAATCCCAGCACTTTGGAAGGCTGAGGCAGGTGGACCACCTGAGGTCAGGAGTTCGAGACCAGCCTAGCCAACATGGTAAAACCCCATCTCTACTGAAAGTACAAAAAATTGGCCAGGCGCGGTGGCTCACACCTGTAATCCCAGCACTATGGGAAGCCAACGCAGGTGGATCACCTGAGTTCGGAGTTCCAGACCAGCCTGACCAACATGGAGAAACTCCATCTCTACTAAAAATACAAAATTCCAGGCGTGGTGGCACACGCCTGTAATTGCAGGCACTCAGGAGG